ACTTGCTGCAATCTGAATAATCCTTAACTCATGGCTTTTATTGAATATTGCGCAGTTATTAGACTGGTTTGTGCTTTTGAAATTCGTATGCTTATTGAAAAATTCCAGAGCATTAAATTCTTGTACTATGTGGCAAGGGCAACTGCATTATTGTTTAGGTCTCCACTATATTTTCTGAAGCACCTACTTCGGACGACGCCAACTCACTACGCCTATCCGGAAAAACTATTGAAACTTATGTTCTCTCGACAATCATTTTCTAAGAGCTAATATTTAAAGCAGGAAATAATAAAATAATCATCGGATAACAAATTCAAGTTTTATTTTAAATCTATGTCTAGGATATACAAATGTTTATAGGGATACTCTAGTAAAATATTAATATCCAAGTTTATACGATTTCTCAGCATTCAGCTACTTCGAACCCAGCCATTTGCATGCTGAGTGCTTTTTATTAGACCTTTTTCCTGGTTCCCTTTGCACATAATTCTCGACAGTTATTTTCCTTTGCAATGGCAGGCTTTACATAATATTCCAATCGCCATAGAAAAGTGACCTTAGCCATTTATAATTTTTTTCATGCTGACTTTTCTTATAGAACTCCCTCGAGCCAAGGTATGTTCTAACGGAAGTTATTATTTAGAAGGTGAAGCGCTTGTGGTTAAAATCCACTTATGGTATTGATTCATCACTTGTCTCTACTAAGCTTATGGAGTTTTGTTAAAACAATTCTGCCTTGATAAAATCCACTAAATCTTTCATCTGAATCATATGCGATCTGCTGACAGTATTTCTCTATAATCTCTCTAGAAGCATTGTTTGGATTTCATTATCCTTCTTTTAAGGGATTCTACAACTTCCATGATATCTCTTAGTTTGTGTTTTGTTTGGCGTTATTAGTTGTTATCTTAAGTTTCCATATGCATTTTCTATAGAAGTAATTTTTTAAGTTCATCTTTCCATGTATTATAGATAAAAAATCTATGACTTGTGTACAATTTCTTCATGCACTGTAATCTCATAGATTTTTTCACCGTAAATATTTTATACTTACTGCTTCTTATTCTAAACTATTATCTCTTCAGAAGTGGGTTGACTTCGTTGTCGCAACTTGGTCTTATTGGCAGGGCCACTTAGTTAAACGTACCTTGTCCTAAGCCCTCTGCCATAGTAGTTATCATAATTCCCAGCATCAGACCGGGGACTTGGTAAATTCTCAGAAGCTTCGCCGGCATCATCAGTGAGTCTTGCCATTCTCCATACAACCCATCTTGCCCCTTTAACGAGTTGTAGCCTGGTGCGGAGAATGGCAAGACTTGCTGATACTGCCGCCTACGATGCCTGTAAAACTTTAGAGAATGTACAAAGTCTACGGTCTAAGGTTGGGAATAATGATAACTGTTATAGCAGAAGACTTTGGACAAGGCGCGTTCAGCTAAGTCGCCTTGACAACAAGACCAAGTTGTGAAGAAAAGGTCAACTTACTTCCCTAAATCGAAAGGAGATTGCGAACATACCGAGGGCCACGCCATCTTGGTCTCTATCTCTATAATTTCTTTATACTATCCTTTTTGTTTCCAGGTTGATGAGAAAAAGGCGAAGCTTAAGATTGCTTCGGAAACACTTCAGAAAATGTGTCGGGACGCTATGACCGGTAAGGGTGTCGATCGGCATCTTTTCGCGCTCTATGTCGTATCCAAGTACCTACGCATGGAGTCCCCATTCCTCAAAGAGGTTTGTTTTATCTAGGCCGCCAAGCTATTAATTTCTTTTGAACTCCTTCCACAAAGATATTTTCCATTATTTGGCCTAAAAACCTTGATATTTTTCTGTCATTGCTACTTACGGCAATGAGCTTAGGGGCTTTGTATCAGCCTAATAAAGCTCTTAAGTTTATAGACTTTACTGGGAGTATAAATAAGGGAGCAAATGGTTTAAGCTAATGCGGAAAAGATACAAAAATAGGGATGAGCCAATTGAGTCAGTGGCGGCAATTAATATTCATACTGACCTTGGTGTGTGCTTTTTGGACGCATCATTTGAACAGGTGCGGCTTGATGACATCTCTATCTTTAAGGAAAAAAGGGAACGTCAGCCTAAAAACAATAGATATCGTCTCTATTTTTTGAATAATTACATCTTCCTGCATTGCACCTTTATATTGTATTTATTTTATTGGGGAGACTTTCATTTCGTATGAAAATGCTTGAGGAAGAGATCAGTAGGTTGATCTCACCCAAAAATGACGTTTGATTTCTGTTATACTGCAGCCGTTTGGCTTTAATACAACGTTTAGGTTGGCGCAGTCCACGAAACATCCTTCCTCATTTAGGGTAAAAACGGGCTAAGCTTCGTCCGTTTGTTTCATTAGAGCTGGAACTCATTGTCGTAAAAGTTTTGCGCTAACACTAGGTACAGAAGATTCATAATTAAAAGAGGAAAATCTATAGGCATAGATTTGAAATTGTTTGGTTAATTATCTTTCATATTGATCATGTTACTTTTATTCGAGTTTGTGCATGTGTCTGTTTGTTTTAACCTCTATGCGCAATACCGATCCTTAATAAGAGTTATCAAAAAAGCGTAATGTCAGGCTCTTGTCATCAAAAGATAATGACCCCCCCCCCCAAAAAAACCCGGCTGAAACTGTGTAAGTCCGTAAATCCGGCCCCTTTTCACCCGAAACAAGGGAGGATGCCTGGTGGATTGCGTCAAATTAAACGTAATATTAAAGCCAAGCGGCTGCAGTTCAACGGAAATCAGCCGACGTCTCTTGGTGAGATCTACCTTCAAATCTCTTATTCGAGCACTTTCATACGAAATGTTTGTCTCCCCAACAATGGTATCTTAGGAGATTTATCGTAGCCCATTTACTCTTCTAATCTACATTGTATTTATCATTTGATTGATTTCTTTCTCTTGGGTCCTATTTTGCCGAACATTGATAGTTAGTATTCACCAACATTTGTATGTGATATTTTCATCCTATTTCGGTTAAATTGATAAGGGACTACTAATTGAATTTTCCCACAATGATATTATTAGACGTGAAGTTTTCATTGAGTTTCCTACAGCATTTTTTTTCCAAAAGTTATTCTTATCTAGAGTGGACTAAAGTTTCGACCTCTTCTAGGTCTTCTCAACATCTCCAGCGTGTCAGTAACCATGGTACTACAGCGTATAGTCTCGATTCAACCACTACACCACAATTCCACGAGTGTCCTTGGGTCACAGGGCAGATGTGAACTTCAAAGGAGGGCATACATTTTCCCATATACGTTCTGTGCTAGGATTATCGATCAAGAAAAGCTGTATTTGCTATAGCATTCCACTACGTTACTTATTTTTAGTTTATAAATAGGTTTTTGAGACTATTAATAGATCTTATGTATGAGCTCATATTTCCTTTATGGTTATAAGAGATCTGGTAGTTGCATTTTCCTAGGCGAGTTCGAAACTTCAGTTTACCCTGGATGAGAATAACTTATTGGCAAGCAAGGCTTTGCGAAATTTAATGGAAACGCCATGTCTCCTCATTAAGTTGGAAAAAGTCAACCAGTCCCCTTATCACCCTAACCGAAATTGCATGAATACATCGCATACATATGATATACTGGTAGTCTCGAAAAGCCTACTTATAAACGAATGGACGTATATATGTTTCTGGTCCTTATTGTCGAAAGCAAATATGTTTTTGCCTTGCAATGCTAGTTTATCATAGAAAAAAGCATAGCAAGTGTTTTATTGGTACATTCGATCGTTTGCATTGCGAAGACGAGGTCGAACAACACAGTTTGGCTATACGGCTAGGTAGAACCATCGTAAAATTGGTACCCTTTGTCTGAATTTGATTGTGAGATATCTTTGCAGGATGCTTAATTAAAGTTAATTAGGTGCTCTTCCTGAGATCTGAGGCGTTGTTGCACCTATTTTTTGATTAGCTGAGTTTAGTCTGCTCTAGTCTGCTTTAGCAGCTATGATAATTTCCAAGGTTGGACCATGGAGTTGGTATTTTCCCAGACATTTCGCCGGCATCGTCAATAATTCTTGTCATTCTTTGCATCAAGCTACAGCTCGTCAAAGAGACAGGGGAATTCAATTTACTGAACAACTTTCTGTGCCATCACTTCTTTTCCTGTATTGGCACACCTACTTACTCCTTACCCTCTTATCTTACTTCCGCTTTATAACAACTTCTGACTTCGAAGGTATGAATACCAAGATGGTGTGGCCTTTTGTGTGGTCGCACGATAAGTGGCTCTGTCTTGTAGTATACTTTCCATATACTCGGTGTATTGTTTCCTGCACTAGGTCCTCATTTATCCTCCTGATGGATTAGTTGTTTATTCCTTTGTAGGGTCCTGTGTATCCTCGCAAATCTGTTCCTATTTGTTGGCTCCTGATGTGTCGATATTATTGAGACTATTTTCATCTCCATTTCCCTCCTTATCCCTTAAGGGGCCTTGTCGGAGATATTAATGATTTCCATCAGGACTTTCACAAAACGGCCAGGTTGCGAAGACAAGGTCGGACCAGTTACCCTTTATACTTCACATTTTACACTCATATACTTAGGCTTGTATCCCTCATTCCCTTTCCTTTTATTACTAGATTCTAAGCGAACCCTGGCGACTTTCGACCAGTCAGACTCCAATGGAGCAGTCTACCGATCGTCGACCTCCATCTGGACACCCTGTTCTTCGATTTCAGCCGGGTGGCGGATTTGGCCCTGTGGCAGACGATGGCTACGGTGTATCCTATATATTTTCGGGCGATGATGCTATCTTTTTTCACATTTCTTCACGTCATTCTTCTTCACTGACGGTAGACTAATTTTTTTAGCTTGTTTGATTTTTAACCTTATTCCATATTCCAATTTACCAATAATTTTATTTCTATCTGCATCACTCTGTTTCGTCCGTCTGTCTTTTTAATGTTGACCTTGATTAAAAAATTAAATAACGTTTTTTTTGCATTTTTCACAAAAATATTTTGTCTATATATAGTACTGACTGATTTTGAAGGGTTATTTATTTAAATAAATTTGTCTTCGTTTTG